TATATATATATATATATATACAAAGACGAAATGTGTGTATATTTGAACCCTATCTCCTCCGAGCCTATCGCGCCAATCTCAACCAAAATTTGTATGTAGACACTATGAACTATGAGGAATGTCCTAAGGGGGTCAAAATTGAACTTAATCCTATCTCCATTTTGTAAAGCCTGATGGTTAATTACTCCCAGCCTATTGAGTCAATCTCGAACTACCTTAGAAGGTTGACGCTTTAGACAACAATGTTGAATATTCTAAAGGGATTCAAAATCAAAGTATGAAAGTTGCTGGATTATTTCTCAAACAATCATGTATTTTTCACGGTCAATGAGATGTAGGGTGTTCAAGGATGAGATCACCTCAAAATCTTGATTTGTTAGTAGATGAAAAGCAAACTACAAATGTTGTTTATGAAGAAGTTTTGTTGTAATTTTAAATTTTTGAGATAAAGTTTTTGTTCAAGTTATTATTTTGAAATATATTATTGCTGTTAAACTTACATTGTTTTAATTAAGTTTAAACATTCCCCATCAGTTGACAGGTATTTCAGCTTGTATATGATAAATATGTTAAAGTGCACTATATACAATATGATAATTTTATGATCCTGAAATAACCTTAACGTTTCCTTTGCATAATTGGATAAAAATAACGAGAACATGTGAACTATACTAAAAGTTCATTAGACAAACAGACCAATGCATAGCGTATATTTACGGTATACATATATGAACCGTCTACGTTGATTAATGAATAAAAGAACTACATGTAAATAGAAAGAGTAGTACCTCCAAAAATGCTCTTCATTTGTTGTATAATCTTGTTTAAAATATGCATAAAATTACTTAAATAAACGTATAAGCTCTTACATACCTATAGAATATGTGTCCTCAACAAATAGAAGAATTTGTTTGTTTGTTTGAAGTCAAGCAAAAAGCTCCACAATGGGCTATCTATGCTCTGCCCACCACGGGTATCAAAACCCGGTTTCTAGCGTTGTAGGTCCGCAGACAAATAAAAGGAAGATGAATATTGTCTACCCATCCTTCAAGAGCTGTTGACTTTTAAAAAATATGCTCTTATTAGAATGATTAAAATAAAGTATATTAGTAATTTTTTCACATTTACTTTTTTCCTGTCGTTGTTGATACACTAGTTTCTAAACTAGCTTCTGTTTACATTAAACAAGTATAGATAATGCAAGGTGAGTATGCTTCATTTGAAGAATAAACTATTCGTTTCAAAGTTTCTTAGAGTCGATTTTATAATTTGGGTATTTTTCTGTTTGGTTTGGTTGTTGTTGAATATAAAGCTACAAAATGAATTAGTTATCAGTGCTTTTTCCACCTGGAAACCTGATTTTTAGCGTCGTAAGCCTGGAGACTTACCGCTGTACCACGAGAAAATATAGTGAAATTTCTGCATTTCATTCAATAGTAATATAAATTTTGCCGATGACATGGCAATGTTAATTAGCAGTATGGTGCCAGTATGGTTTAAAACATAATGAACATAAAAATAAGTGTTCTCCATCTTTTCAATACTATGTAGCGGCCATCTTGGATTTTAAAATAGCCGTAATGCAATACCTATTTATCCATATATCATAAAATCCAAGATGCTCAGAAACAAACTTTTAATGACTATTCTGCTATTTTCAGGGTCAAGGAATCCAAAAATGACACTCGAAGTGTGCCAGAGCTCTGTGGAATAAACATATTGATCACGTTTTTCAGCCAGGTTATCAATGCTTACACAATTTCAAACCAGATGTGAAAAATCTATTAGAATTATTAAATAATCAGTCTTACTAATTTGTTTTTCAAATTTTGTGCAAAGCTACTCGAGGGCTATCGAGTGCCCTAACCACTAGGCCATGCCAGGCCGCCAAACAGGTAAACCACCTCGTATAACGAAAGGTTCCAGAATTTGGTGGATAGAGTGTCGATGTGAAAACAAGTGAAGAAAGGAAGAAATAGATGAGTTTGATGAACACAGTTAACTAATCTTCATTTATCCCTGTGTTAAGGCTCACGTTTACAGTGTTATTCTGAATAATTAAATAGATAAGTAAAATGTTGGAATTTAACAAAATTGAACAGAATTAATTATTCAACAGTTGAACTGAAATTGTAAAAACAAAACATAAAACAGCTAATTTAAGATAAGCTGACTGGCTGGAAAAAAAAACATTCAGGAGTTTCTTAGATCAAATAATTTTTCTTTTAACTCTGACAACAAAGTGAGAGAGAGTCCAGAGATTTTTACCCAAGAAGCGACAATCTTTTAAAATTCACCTAACCACAATAAGGAGAGAAAATCTTGTTACAAATTATCTCGTACTGAGAAAATGTTGATCGTCTTGTCGCGGGATACATCATTAGCTTCGTTGGTGCTATAATATTCGTTGTCAAACATTTAGATGGTAAAACAATCACTTTGTTGATCGATTAGTCTAAATCATTTGGCTAACCTGTTAGATGAGCCAAGCTGACGTGTTTTGATACTGAACAACAAGTCTCCTGAGTGGCGGCTTATGGCAGAAGGAAGATAGAAATGCTATTTCTAAAAACCTCTTACTTTAAATCCATAATGGAGTAGTCATGAGAAATGTGAAATAGACCATCGGCATGCTTAGTTATTGTAGGTGTTAATCAACTAAAACCTGAATATATATTTTGTGTTTAAAACTAACAAATATAGTATATTGTACAAGTTCATTAAGTTTTGAGAAGATAATTTTGGATTGAAAAACTATGATATGTATATAGTTTGTTTAATTAACGGATGTACAAGGTGTGGAGGACTGCACCTTGAGCTTTTATGGCAAATATTACAATTTTTAGAATTGAATAAATTACAGAAACATTGTACTTGTCTCATTAATTGCTACATTAATCTTGAAAGCTAACTTTTTGGAATGAAAGATAAGCAGAAAGTATGAATCGCTTGAATAGAGTAACATATAATATACATAACTAATTATAACTTATATTAATAATACTTGTAATTATTAAAAACCAGGATGTTATGGTTACTTTGAAGAGTGAAAAAATTAATCCATAATAAAATGCTTGGAAAATGTAATCAACAATACCTAATTGTTAAATATAGTAATTATCAAAATAATTAAATACTCATTTAAATGCAATGAACTTTAAAACAGTATATGTGTACTGTACTTGTTTAACTACATATGATAAATGTTGATTTTTAATTACAAAAGAAGCAATACGATTATATTGACAATAATAAAACTATGCTAGTCAGTTTAAAACATATTTGATTAATTTCTCAATAATTATGTAAAGCGTGGCTTACGTATCAAGACGAATTTCCAGAGGAACTTGCATACGGAACATAGTTTTTGTTTTGTTCGTATGCATAAAGAGATGTATGTTTATGTATTCATTATGTAATTCACCATTCGTAGTGAACTATTTTAATCCCACGATTTTTTTGTTTGTTTACTAATAAAGTACTTGTAATTATAGTACAGTAGACTTTCTGTGCTGCTACCGAAGAATACTAAATTATTGTTTCTTTCAATTATTTTGAAATTGCAAAGTGTTGCACAGTCTTTAACTATCTAAATTATGAACTAGAAGATGTATTTGTTTTTTCTTTAAGTAATTTAGGGTTTGGTAGCAATCTTCTTGTTCGTATTAGCTCGTTTTCAAAGTGCATAACCCAACAGCGTTTGATATTTGGTATTTCTAACCTGAACGGCACCTTACGCGACACACGGGATAAACAACCAAGTCATAAACTTCTAGTTATTCAGGCATAGTCATCTTTGAGTTAAAACTGCCGACCAGATGGAGGGCAACAAATCAGCAACATTTGCCACCTAAACTGTTACTCTTAATCGAAAAGAGGGATTGGCTGTCACAATTACGACCCCACAGCAGAAAGTACAGACTGTATTCAGCGACATTTCGTGGCTCTAATCTTGGACTTTCCGATTGCTTGGCATGATAACCGCTAGGTCACACACTCGTCCGTATCCAACCGAGTGTCTTTTTTTAAAAAAAAACCAAACAAGTTATTGGGCTTCGGACAAAAATAATTTACCAAACTTTGACATCATAAGTGATGACGTTGGGATGTCATACAGTTTAACCTCAGATGTTATAAAAACGAAATCATGGCAAAAAATACAATCAAATGATGACGTTATATTCACTTTCATTCGTTAAATGCCTGATAATTTATTAATTCGCTTTTCATAATTCATTACCTAAACATGTTAATCAATCTCTACAGTGTAAGTTCGGAATAGTACTTTAGCATAATTTATGGGGCTGTCCATTTATTAGAGCTAATGATGTAATCATAAAACCTATAAACGATAGATGGGTGTAAAAATGTTACTTGCAGGAAAATAACAGTGAGTTAAAAATGTCGACACAAACAGCTCATAGTAAAAAACACAGTGGCAAAAATAATTTAAGTGCATTCAATTTATCCTTCAGGAGTATGAATATTGAACTTAGAACTTGCACATGTCAATGATTTAGAAACAATATCGAGAAAAACAGAAAAAAGAAAGCTCTTATAGTGATTGACATAGTTTATTATTCCAAAAAGTATACAGTAAAACACAAATATGTACTCAAGGTGTATATACTCGTACTGACTGGTGCAGTGATTCAAATAGGTCGTGGTACTTCTCTCCAAATATGTAAAAGAGACTCTTGTGTTCGTGCGTATCATTCTCTTTGAAACTACATTAAAAACTTTGTATCGGCGTGAGAGGGTACAGTACCTTCGCCCAAAATACCACTTAAAAGTACATTAATAGTTTCATTCTTCTAAATCCTCTTTAAAAATGCGTAAATAAGTTTGCATCAGAGTAAGTGTTGGGTATCTTCGTCCAAAATCCCTCTTGAAAAGTACATTAACTTTATATCGAGAGAGATTGTTGAGTATCTTCTTTCGAAGTCCCCTTTAAAAGTACATTAACTTTGTATCAAGGTTGTTGAAGATCTTCTTCCGAAGTCCCCTTTAAAGGTACATTAACTTTATATCGAGAGATTGTTGAGTATCTTCTTTCGAAGTCCCCTTTAAAAGTACATTAACTTTGTATCAAGGTTGTCGAAGATCTTCTTCCGAAGTCCCCTTTAAAAGTATATTAACTTTGTATCAAGATTGTTGAAGATCTTCTTCCGAAGTCCCCCTTTAAAAGTACATTAACTTTATATCGAGAGAGATTGTTGAGTATCTTCTTTCGAAGTCCCCTTTAAAAGTACATTAACTTTGTATCAAGGTTGTTGAAGATCTTCTTCCGAAGTCCCCTTTAAAAGTATATTAACTTTGTATCAAGATTGTTGAAGATCTTCCGAAGTCCCCTTTAAAAGTAAATTAACTTTGTATCAAGATTGTTGAAGATCTTCTTTCGAAGTCCCCTTTAAAAGTACATTAACTTTGTATTGAGAGAGATTGTTGAAGATCTTCTTCCGAAGTACTCTTTAAAAGTACATTAACTTTGTATCAAAATAGACTGTTGAATATTTTCGTTCGAAATCCTCATTTAAGAGTATGTTTAGAACTTTGTACCGAAGTGAAATAATTGAGAATTTTCATACGAAATCTAATTTAATAAAAGTGCAGTAGCTTTGTATCGGAGTGATATTATTCAGTTTCTTCGCCCAAAATCGTATTTAAAAGTACATTAATAACTTTGTACCAGAGTGAAATTATTAGGTTGTTTCGTCCAAAGTTCTCTTTAAAAGCACATTAATAACTTTGTATCAGAAAAAAAATTGTTGAGTATTTTCCTCCGAAACCCCCCTTTAAAAGCACATTAATAACATTGTATCAGAAAAAAAAAATGTTGAGGATTTTCCTCCGAAACCCCCCTTTAAAAGTACATAAAACAACTTCGTATCGGAGTGAGATTGTCGAGCATTTTCATCCAAATCCCCTTTAAATGTACATTAATAAAATGGTTTCAGAGATATGTTGCTGGGCTTCTTCGTCCAAAGTCCCCTTTAAAAATACGCTTATAACTTTGTACCGGAATGAATCTAATCTTAAATGTATATATCTTATGCAAAAAATACACAATATAATAATAATGAGGCAGAATGTGTTAGTAACGATGTAATCTATTTCCGTTACTAGCTAGACTCACGAAATGCTCTATGTGTATTGCGTATATTACGTTGCGCACTTATATTACAAATGTTAGAAAAGTGCTAATTCCAAACTAGATCACAATCAAAAGAATTGTTTCTTCATATAAAAGGTCAGGATATTTAAACACTGTCGTTAAAAAGTAATCACAGGAAAGTTAAATTTTGTTTTTCAAAAATCAAAAATTCTCTTCTTAATTTCGTAAGATGGAAAAAGTTTCAACGTATCAGACTAATTTTAGTTACCACGTCAGGTCGACAAAACCGAGGTAACTTGTCATACTTTTCTGAACTGATTCTTACTTGAAATAATTTTGCTGTTGTTCATTCACTCAAGACTCTGTCTTCCTATAACTCTTTCGACTCCATTTTATGCAGGTTGTTTATATTTCTTAAAGAAACAAAATAAATATCATAAAAATAAACCCCTTGAACTCCTATGCTGGTGGGTATATAGTTAGTTGTTGTTTATTGATTTTCGTGGAAAGATACTCGAGGACTATCTGTGCCAGCCATCCCTAATTTTAAAGCGGCAGTTCCTTAACACCACCCATCGCCAACTCGTGGGCTACTCTAATCGAATAGTGAGATCTGACTGTAACTCGGATATAGTGAGAAACTATCGTTAAAACAGATTGATTTATTACTAGTGGGTAACCGCTTGGCTCACTGAGTGGATTCAACACATTTTATCAATTCTATACAAGTGATTTACTTGATATGTTAAACCAATATCGAAGACTTTACTACATACGTGTCGCTATGTGCTTTATAAACCATTAATTTAATTTAAAAAACAAAAGATTCCGAAAATTCGTATCGAATCTTCCTCCTAAAAAAAAATTAAAATTAAAAATGTACTGCTAATGTTATGTCTATTTATTTTCTTACGTGAACTTTTTAAAAACATACTCTACCCAGCTTCCGAATTATTATTAATTGCAACATGGACAAGTCCTCGTGTTGGACTCTTTAAGTACCCATTTGTTTCTTATTGAGATTCTTTCGTTTCTTATAAACCCAATGACTTTGTAATCAAAGACTTGCGTCAGTTTTTGATATCGTCAACTAGTTGTTACTGGATACGTCCTTTAAGCTACACTCTGCATGCTCGTACGTATCCTTTGAAGATCTAGCTATTTCTTGAACCGTTACAGCTACCTGGACCAGTCCTTTTTCTTCTAGAATATCTTGGATAGAACATAAGCGGTCCTGTTTAAAAAATAAAACAAAATATTACTATAGTGTAATTCTTTAAACTGGGGCAAATGATTTGTATGTTTATCTCAGTAATTGGACTTACTATCAATTTTGTTGTTTGTTACGGATTTCGCGCAAAGCTACTATTAGCCGTCCCTAATTTATCAGTGTAAGACTAAAGGGAAGGCAGCTAATAATCACCAGCCCCCACCAGCTCTTGGGATACTCTTTTACCAACGAATAGTGAGATTGACAGTCACATTATAATGCTCCCACGGTTGAAAGGGCGGGCACGTTTGGTGTGACGGGGATTCGAACCCGCGACCCGCAGATTGCGAGTCGAGCGCACTAACCACCTGACCATGCCGGGCCGTGGTGATATATAATCAATGAAATGAAGGAGGCATATGACAGAAAACAGAGATGTTTTTACCAATCAGCACAGAAACGTCACAATAACAGTGATGTGATATAAAGAATGGCCACGGGGTGAGGGTGGTGGAGTCACAAAAGTTCGTAACGATATGTCGTGAGTGTGTGGAATACACCTCCATCCCTCTGTTCCCAGTAAAAAATTCTGACTTAGTTTCCAATCGTAAGTTGTTTTCAAGGACCCTATACTTAATTGGATAACGGAAAATATCTACTTAACCTTCAACAAGCTGCGAGTCAGTTTTGATCTATAATGATCATAAGGAAATAATCGAAAAATTCTGGAGTTTCTGCGCAGTCTAATAATTTGAATTTAAAGAATTTTATCAATACTGCACGACGATCTTAACGAGCTCTATATAATACAATATTAAAATATGTGTCACTAGAGGTCGTTTGTTTGCTGGATTTCGCGCAAAGCTACTCGAGGGCTATCTACGTTTGCCCTTCCTAACTTAGAAGTGATAAACCAGAGGAAAGTCATATAGTAACCCCCCCCCCCACCGCCAACTCTTGGGCTACGTTTTACTAATGAAAAGTAGGATTGACTGTCACATTATAGCGTCCACACGGCTGAAAGGGCGAGAATTTTCGGTGACAGAATTCGAACTCACCCTGACCACCAATTCATGACAGGCCTTCACTACAGGTCGACGTGCAGATTTGTTCCTTTTGAGATATACGCACACAAATATATATATATATATATATATTAGATAGTCAAGAAATTAGTGTCGCGTTTTGGAACACTTTCATTAATCACCCCAAAAACAAAGTACATCACGTATAATAGTTAAACGAACCACTTAAACGTCACGTTAGTGTTGCCTATATAATGTGTAAAGTTTAGTATACTCTAATCCCTTAGAGTGATGGCACACGACGAGACTCACATTTGGCATGTAATGCTGTTTAAATACAAGAATTGTAACCATAAAGAATATCAAGTTTATGGAAATGTTCTGAACGTTCATAAGTGTCAACGAGGGTTCAACAAATTTCGCTCAAGTGACTTTAGCCTTAAAATCTGTGATCGCAGGAGCCGACATGTTGGAATTGATATTGATGCTCTGAGGACGCTCGTTGAGTCTAACCCAAGATAAC